ACTAAGAGTTGGAAGGTTTTGTGACTTGCTTAAGAATCACACTTAAGGGATCAAAGTAAGATTAGAATTTAAGAATTTTTAGTTTTAGAAGAGAGCTTTACCCTAAAATCACATGATCCTGCACTTTAACAAAGAAAAAAAAATACCCATTTTGTGGCCCTGCTGGTTGATGAATGTCACTTTGCCTGCTCTGATGTAAATCCAGGTCACTGTGAAGGAGTTGGACTTGCTGTGATTTGCTGGGAAGACCACCAAGATAAACCAAGCCAGATCTGCCCCAGGTCCATGTGCAAGCTCAGGAGTACTCTGATTTCAGAAGGCAGATTTTGCCTATTATCAAGCAGAACCTCCTTTAAAGAGAGAACACTAAAGGACTGAGAAGCCTTCTCTCTCTTAGGTCCTTAGGAGTTTATCTAGCATCTACCCAAGGGCAAAATAGAGTATTTGGAAACCTGCACAATGGCTATTATTTGGAAAATGATCCACTCCCTCCTCACTTTCCCTGCCACATGAAGTCCCCCACCCTTTCCCAAATTAGTTAGCTCACTTATTGATTAAGCTGAAGCATTTTTACAGGGAGTGACTTTTCCTTTTCCTCTGCTTCTGGAAAAAAAAAAATCAGATTCCAGAATTCAGAAGAAAAAAGCAACTGACTTATCATAGGGTTGGAGCTTGGTGGATCACTGTATACAACTTAACACTCTGGGAAAGTGTTCAAGTTTTTATTCTGATGCATTTGCACTCAATATGATCTATAAGATGTTAGGAACTTCAGTTTACCAAACTGTTAACACCACACAACTCATCAATAATTATTCTACTGCAGAATAAATAATTTAACTCAGATTCAGCAATCATTTACATCTTGTCCCTTTTCTTTTCTCTCTCTCCTTTCATCTCCCTCTTCTTCCTTCCCCACTTTCCCTCCTCTGTTCCCTCCCTCCCTTTCTCTGTCTGTCCACCTGCTCGCCCTTTGGAGAATACAGTGAGAGCTCTCTCCCTTTCTCTTTTAATATCTGTATATTTCTTAAGTACAGTGGCATCCTCTAACATTATCACAGTACAGTTATCAAAATCAGGAAATTTAACATTGATACAATACAATTATCTAATCCATGGTCCATAATCAAATTTCCACCCAGTTATGTTCCAATTGATTTTTTTTTTCTGGTCCAGAATGCAGCCTTGACTCATGCATTGCATTTAGCATCATGCCTGTTTGTACTCCTGGAAATCAGGACAGTCCCTTAGTCCTTCTTTATCTTTCTCAGTGTCAATATTTTTGAAGAGCATAGGAGTTGTTTGGAGAATATCACTTAATTTTAGATCGTCTGACTCTTAGGATTTAAAAATTCGAGTTAAACACATCAGGAATATCACTGTATTCTCAGGAAATTGCATCAGGAGACTGTTGATTGTACTATTATTTGTGATGCTAACTTTAATCACTTGCTCAAGATGGAATCCAACAGTGATGACTGCCATTCTGACTGGAGTCTGTTGTAAAGTGACAGTTCCTCCTTGATAAGAATTTTTCTGAAGATTCTTTGAAACTATGCAAATATCCCTCATCAAACTTTTACCCACTTGTTTGAACATCCACTGATGATTTTATTTTCTTCTCTTTCCATGTTTTCTTTTTTTTTTTTTTTACTGGTGCATTGTAGTTGTATATAATGGTGGAATTTGTTGTTACATATATGTACGTGCACACAACATGACAATATAATTTGGCCAATATCATTCCCCAGTATTCCCTGCATCCCCTCCCTCCCTGGGGTCACTTTCCTTTACTGATCTCCCTTTGATTTTCAAAACACCTTCCACAACATCACTTCTTTTTTTCCTTTTTCCTCTCCAGTTTCCACATATAAGAGAAACCATATAATCTTTGACCTTATGAGTTTGGCTTCTTTTACTTAACATAATGGTCTCAAGTTCCATCCATTTTCTTACAAATTACATAATCACATAATTTCATTTTTCTTTATGGCTGAATAAAACTCCATTGTGTACATTTACTTTATTCATTCATCCATTGATGAACACCTAGAATGGTTCTGTAGTTTGGGTCTTATGAATTGTGCTGTTGTAAACATGGACATGCACATGTCACTATAGTATGATGACTTTACTTCTTCAGGGTAAATACCAAGGAATACTATAGCTGTGTCATACCGTGGTTCCATGCCTAGTCTTTTGAAGAACTCCCATGCTGATTTCCATATGGTTGTACTATTTTTATGACCCCAAAATAGTATAAAAGTGTTCCTTTTTCTCTGCCTCCTTACCAGCATTTTATTATTATTTGTATTCTTGTTGACTGCCATTCTGACTGGAGTGAGATGAAATTTACCACTGACGATTTTGTAAGACCCTTATTCCTACTAAAATTATGAGTTTGCAAACTAAGAAAGAGCTTTCCTTCCTCCCTAATTATTTATTTGTTTTGAAAATCAGAATAAGGATTCATGGATTCATGAATTCCCTTATTTATTTTGATGTTCGAATTCTCCCAAGTTTTTCCAGTGGTGCTCACGTCAAGCAGGCTCTTGTGTCCTTTCAACTTGTTCCCATGATTCTTTGAATATTTCCTGGCTTTTTGGCACAGTTAGATATTCCAAGATCATCTTGGAATTTTCCTGACCCAGCACGAGAATAAGCCATTTCTCCAAGGAGCCCTGGTTTCTTTCAGTAGAGAATGATATTTTAAAGTCATCTGGGAACTAATTGTGCTCATTACTTCAAGCCTGTCATTGTTTCCAGTCTTGCTCAGTAGATAAAGCAAGGACATATATGTGTCTGTATTTCTGTATCATCTGCCTTTTTTACTTGTATTTAAAATCATTGAAATCACAATGAAACATGTAATTACAATTCAGCCCCACAGAGTGCAGTTTAGTGTTCCCTTTACAAATATATAACTCCCTTACCCAACAGTGAGGAATCTACTAAGCTAAGGAAGCTAAGGAAGCCCTATCATAAAGATTATCTTAAATTTTTTTTTTCATTTGCCATGCTTAGGAAATGGAGAAGGATGTTTTCCAAATTGCTAACACATACCATTGCAAAAATACAAATGTACTTCATCGTGTTCAACATTTATTTACACTTATTTTAGATAAAATACATTGAAATGTACAAATCTAATGATTACGATTCAAGGAACTTTGACAAATATGCCCATCTTTGCTATCTATATCTCTATGATGAAAACAAAGTTGTCCACTCATCTGAAAAAGTCCCTTTTTTCAGTCAACACTCTTCTGAAAGATAGCCAGTCTTCTGGTTTTATTTATTTTTAGTATAGATTAGTTTTCTTGGCCAAGTTTTTAACAAGAAATTTTTTTTAGATCCAGATAGCTTTTGGAAAAAATTCAAAAATATTATAATTTTACCTAGATGGATGTTGACCTATGGCATATTACTTTTTAGGTAAATTAGTGTATATAATAAATCCTTGAACCAAAATAAAAATGCAGAGGGTTCCCATGGCCTGTTCTCCTCATCTGACTGTGCTGAACTCTTCTTTTGCCCCAATTACCTGGTTCACTGGGTTTCAGCTGACCACCTCTCAGTTCCTCAACTGCACCAGGTTCTTTTTTTACTAGAAGGACTTGGCACTCACTGTTCACTGAGCTAGAACACATTTTCCTTATTCTTCACCTATCTGGTTTTTTGGTGATTATCCAGACCTCAGCACATCATCATTCATTCCAAGAGCTCCCCTTTGATTATTCTACCAGAAATTGCTCATCACTTTTCCTGGGTCACTGTCGGCCATCTCCCCTGGTTTATTTCTGTTTAACTCTCATTGCTCTTCTAAATTACTGAGTTGTTTGGGTATCTATCTTTTCATAAGATATCAGGGACCTTATCTATAAAGTCTTTGTTGTTTCCTCAGCACCTAGAATAATGTGTATGTGTATGTGTTTGTGTGTGTGTGTGTGTGTAGGGACAACACCTATTTGTGGGACAAATGAATGATTGATAACTTAAATTGGTACTCTTTATGATAGGCTTTCCTTAGCTTCTGAAAATCCTGAAGAACAAAATATTTTCCTTTTACAAATTATTAATGAATATAAATCAACATTGCTTTACTTTTCCTTTCTTTTATACTTTTTACTTTGTTTAGTTTTCCAGTGAGCAAATACACAACACTGTTGCCTTATTTTAATATGTTTACAGGTATAAAATGTATATTTAATTGATTTTGAGCAGATTTTTCAGCAAAAAAAAATATTTTCATTTTGAAATTCTAGAAATATTAAACATTAACATTTTAGTGAATACAGGCAAATGCCTAGAGTCACAAGAGAATGTTGCTGTATCTTTTCAAAAGTGGGTTTTTAAAAATTAAAAAAAAAATTGCTGGGGATTGAACTCATGGCCTTGCTCATGCTAAGCACCTGTCTACCACTGAGCTACATCCCTGGCCCTCATAGGTGGATTTGTTTTAAATCAGGCCAAAGTTTACTTTACCTGGGGAATTGCTCAGCACTGCCTCTGCATGAAAATGAAACTGGATTTCTGTCTGTGGTATAACATAAATAAGACAGAATGTGCCATTCGGATTGGACCTGGAGATGCTGGAAGATACTCCTCTGCTCTGTGACAGAATACAGCTGCTCACTACCTCTAGGACAGTTAGAAACAGGCCTTTGAGTTTAGCTTTGTATTTATCTCTTTGTTGCTCAATGAGTTTGGGATAGAGAGAGTCATGATTCATAATTATATTTTATTTTGGCCCACTGAACAGATTTGTAAAATGTGTAAATATTCAAATAAAATACAGGAAATTGTTTGTCTCTGGATTTTCATGGATTTGCCAATCTAAAAATTCCAGGACAGACTTTGACAGTTATTTGATCATTTTCCTAGATGGAACCTTGTGTTAAGAAATTTAATAGTTATAATCATTTTTTTTGTATAGGAATAAGAACATAGGGTCTGTCAAAAGAGGCAGCATGTATTCTGTCTATGTGTTTATTTCTAAGGAGCATAGCGGCCACTGACCATGAACCAACAGATGCCAGGAAATCCTTCCCATGTTTTGATGAGCCCAACAAAAAGGCGACTTACACCATATCCATCATCCACCCCAAAGACTATCAGGCACTTTCAAATATGCCCATGGAGGTGAGTATTTCTTAATGTTCTGTTTATGCAGATAGTCTGTGTGTATAATATCAGCTAAAATACCTGATTTGCCATGGAAGAGAAACCATTAAATTCTAGAACTAAATGTGCACTCATTGTAGGTTTAGAAGATTCAGAATACATTTTAACACTCGCTTTTGCTTTGAGTTCTAGTAATCACAGTCCAGAAAAGAAGTCACCTCCATGTTTCTGTGCAGGAGAGAAAACAGTAGACATCCATTGGCTGGGACTTTGCTCGACTCACAAAATCCCCTAATAATGATGAATTCATGACAAACTAATGGAATTACAGGCTTAGAAATATTTCTGGGCCTAAAATAAAACTCAGTAGTTTTATTTTCAGCTGAATATAAACCCAGTTTTTAAACACCGAAAAACTACTGTGAAAAATCTTTACTTAAATACTGGGTTGTAGAAGCCAACTCCAGCAAAGACCATGCCTGTAGATTTTTTTTGAGAACAGGAAATGTTTGTCAACTGTTGGATAAATAACAGGCTACACTAATTTCTGCCTGTGTAATCATTAATTAACATAAGACTCTTTCCTCTATAATTGGTAATGTAGTTAACTAGAATATCATTACCTCAAAGTTGAAGTTCAACATACTTTATACCTTTGACATGTCAAAGAGTAGGTCTCATCTTTAGGTATAATTATCATTTATTTAGTACCAGAAGGACACTGAGGCTGAAATTATACCTCTGATCTTTCTGATTCACTGCCTGAAATGTCATCACTGAAATTCTTCTCTTTTGATAATAAAATATCCCTTGAAAAGACAAACACAAAACAAAAACATTAGAGAGTTAAAATGTAAACTGTCGTCAGCCATCCATGCCTCCATGTGAACTAGCTTCTAAACTTGATTTCTTTTGGTATCAGGCACATGAGAAATTAAGTTTTGGTTGGAGAAGAGAGAGGAAAGAATAAAGTTAAAGTGTGACACATTGACCCAGAAGATGGGTTCAGGGTACAGCATCATCAGAATGTCTTGGCATGAATGAGGGAAGAGTATGGGAGGGGGAAAGCAAACTTACCAGTCTCTGCTCACAGTCTCCCCACATTACCTTTCATTTCACAGAGTTATATTTCTTGACCTTCTTCTAGATCCAGACAATAGAGCTGGAAAAGGGAAAATTTTCAGGTCATTAGGAGATCAACACTAATACTATTAGTCTTTCATCGTGGAGTAACTACCTTACTGGAACCCCAGCACTTTTATATAAGCACATACACGTAATGTCAATCATATATCAATTCTAGTTCAGCCTCCCTCATTTAATCTCTTTGTAAAGCTTCCCACTTAGATAGAAGCTATAAGAGGAAGTGGAAGCATTTAAACAATGGTACCAAGAATTGAGAAAGCATTCATTGTTGAAGTATTAGGATTCATGATTGACAGGGAGGACTGCAGAGCTGGTGTGGAAAAAAAAACCCAGACAGAGAAGGAGTATGTCAAGCACTGGAATCCTTCTCTCTGTCCATGGTAACCAAGGCACTGACTTTAGAGGCTATACCTTGGGTCTTCTATGTAGACAACTAGAAGTGGAGAAGAGAAGCCACCATTCATTTATTCTTGATAGAGTGATTCCCCTCCTGCATGTACTCAAGTCAGCAAACATTTACTAAGTTCTTTCTCCCTGACAATATTAAACACTGGCCTATCCTTTATTAACAGATCAAAATACCCCCTAAAATATTATGGTGAGGATTGTTGTTTAGTGTAGAAAGATAAACTCTCATCCAATTGACATCATAGTCCAAATTCTGTTTTTCCTAGAGAAACCCAATATGGCATATAATTCAGTTACTCTTTCACAATACTTAAAATAATGTAAATTTTCCTTTAGTCTTTTCAACATCACCACAAAAATTTTTACTTCTGAGCTTTGGCAAGCTCCTGAGTAGAGAGAAGAGCTGGGGGTGGTCACCATTTGTTTGTCTTGGACATGATTGATCTCTTGATAAATGAAAAATTATCTTTTGTATTCTATAGATAACAGAGTCAGTGGATGACCAATGGATGCGAACAACTTTTCAGAAGTCTGTTCCCATGAGCACTTACCTGGTGTGCTTTGCTGTACATCAATTTGCCTCCATAACAAAAATGTCAGAAAGTGGAAAACCTGTGAGTTCCATTATATTTTAAATATTTACCACCTGTGAATTTGTAGTTAGTTTTCTACATTTTTGAATAGATATTGGTTTGTTTTCTGCATAATAGGCCAGAAAACTCCATCAGACATCAGGGTCTGTGAACTTGAAAATATATCAAGCAATATAGAAAAATATAAGCTGAAAAGCCACAGACAGAAAGTAAACAAATAGGAGAGACACAGATATGTATGGCCTTGAATTATGTTAAGGGGAAAATTCACAATGAATCAAAATCTGGATCCCAAGTACACCAGCATAAATGTATTTAAATATCTGTGCATATTCAATTTAATAAAATGGCTTAGTGCCCCCTGGGTGAGGTCCCAGGAAGAGAGACTCCAGGGAGAGAGGAAGAGAAAAGAGAGAGCCAACTGTCCTTCCAGTAACCAAGCACTGAGAAGCTGGGGCCATTTCTACATGTGTGACTTAAAATAGGACAGCACCAAAGTGTCAAACATACTTTTTAAAAGTGTGAGAAAACATAAGCAATCTTTTTTTTTTTAATGAGGATATCTACTTTAATAATTTCCTTTTGAAAAATCAAATAATTTTACCCATTTTTTTCTCATTTTGGAGGCCCCCATTTGGCTTATGCTCTGAACACTTACTTCCTCTACAAAGCACGTTAACCCAATTTTGTGCCATCGGTTTTATACGTGTGCGTATGAACTTATGAAATATTTGCAGTATTATTTAAAAAGGGAGGACCACCACCCCATTATACGGATGGGAAACTAAAGCTTAATGAGTGCAAGTAATTTGTTCATGATTCAACTGATAAGTGTCAGAGACTCAAATTCCATTTTTTACCCCAAATACTGTATCCTGATGAGCCTTCTGAGATGTAATGTTCTAAAAATATCTTACCTTTTCACCAGTCATTGGAAGGGAAGAGATAGGTCCTTTATTTCCTGTGAAATTAGCTCCTGGGGAAATTTAACTTTATTTTGGTATAGAAGGATGGACATTGACATATGCCAAACCTGGGTTTCCAGATGGCTACCTGTACTCTATCCATATTTCAGTGAGTACGGAATGTCCAAAGACCTTTCAGAGGGGCTACACATCATGACTCATTCATCTTTGTGTTTTCCTTGCCATATATGTTGCTTCGATGTGAACTTCAGTCATGGTGAAGGGGACTACCAGTGGCAAACAGATAATATTAGATATGGAAAAAAATGGCATCAGAAAGAGGAAGTTGTTTTTTCTAGGTTGAAATGAGTACAGTCAATGCATTCCTCTTGTTAAAGGCAGAGTTGAGTACATCCATCAAGCTCCGCCCCCCCTTTCAATCTCATAGCAAACATGGAATTTTGTCTGAATGTGCTTTCCTCATACCCCACAATTCAATTGCATCATTGTTTTTTATGCGGTGCAGGTGTTTCTCACACCAATTTTTTTAAAATTACAATTACTTCTAGGCAAGTTTTTCTATTTTGGGTAGAAACACCAAGCCAAAGTAGAAAAGATTCCAGTAGGTTCTACTAATCATATAATTTCATAAATGAGAACAATGCAGCTGGGCACCATGGCACACACCTGTAATCCCAGCGACTCAGGAGGATCACCAGTTCAAAGCTCGCCTGGGTAAGAGCGATGCACTAAGCAACTCAGTGAGACCCTATCTCTAAATAAACACAAAAAAAGGGCTAGGGAATGGCTCGACGGTGGTTAAGCACCCCTGATTTCAATCTCCAGTACCAAATAATAATAATAATAATAATAATAATAATAATAATAATAATGCAACAGCCAATCAGCAGATGATATTATTCTTGAAGTTCCTTTCTTTTCTTTTTTATTTATTTATTTTATTTTTTATTCTTATTTGTTATATATGACAATGGAAAATGTATTACAATTCATATTACATATATAGAGCACAACTTTTCATATCTCTGATTATGTACAAGTATATTCACACCATTTGTGTCTTCATATATGTACTTTGGATAATGATGACCATCACATTCCACCATCAGTTCTAACCCCCTGCCCCCTCCCTTCCCATGCCACCTTTTGCCCTATCTAGAGTTTTTCTATTCCTCCCATGCTCTCCCTCTCTACCCCACTATGAAACATCTTGATGCTGGTTGTTTTAATGAATCATAATAACAACCATTATTATCAGGTGGTTAGTATGTGCCCAATACTGTTAAAATACTTCATGAACTAGATTTCTTTTTAAAATCATGTTTGTTGAGATATAATTTATATATGGTAAATTTATCCTGTTTAGTTTTATAGTTATATGAATTTTGATAACACAAATATAAAAAATGACAACATATATATGGATATATAGTACTACTGTCAAGATACAGAATATGTTAGCTTGTGCTCCTTTATTTCTTTTTTTTAAGCAAATAGAGAAATTAATTTTAATACATTTTCATAAGTGAAGTTAGCCAATCCAAAAAAAAAAAAACAAATGCCGAATATTTTCTCTGATATAAATTTGAATCTTTAGTCCTTCTAGAGTTATTTTAGGTTTTGTTGTGAAAAAAAAAAACAACTTATTTTCACTTTCTCAAAATAAATAAATAATATATGTAAAAAAAAATAAAAAATAAACCAATGGATTACCAACATAATTTGCAAAGAAAATAATTGTTAGTAAGATAAGTAAAGTATTTCATGTTCATTTTCTTTGTTCCAGTAAGTCTTTGGAATCTAATGTGTATTTAACACATAGCACACCTCAATTCAGACTAGACACATTTCAAATCTCAGTAGCCTCATGTAACCAATGACTGCCATATTGGCTCCTTTCTTCATCTTTCACCTTTTGGTGAGACATATGCTGTAGGCTGCATGATAAGTCCTCTTGTTATGTGGTTTCTTGTTGAGTTCCATCAGAAAGGGACACCAAAGAGATGTACTTAAAATATACAAGAGTAGAGCAAGGAGTTTTATTCCTCCCTATAAGACTCTATTAGACTGTAAATTGTTTTCTACATGCTTTGGTGGGAATAACTTCAGTTAAGTCACCTTCTCCTACAAATTTTTCATAATGGCTCTCTCTTATTTCACCTCTCACCTTTCCAATTTTACAAAAGGAAAGGTGCTTCACAAAATTTGTTAGTTTCTCTAAACCTCTCCCTTACCTTTATAAATACCTTATTAAACAATTTTTACTCTGATTAAGCTTTTTCATGCTTGAATCTTGAATAATGATTTTTAATTATAAGAGAGTAAAATATACCTCATCTCATATCACAGGGAATTCACATACCAAATTAATTATATGTTAAAATATAATGTATACAATGCTAAAACTTTTAAAGAACATATTTGTGTAACTTTGTGAAGAGAAATGGAAAACAAAATAATATGAAATAAACAAAAGCTTAAAAATTAGATGATATTATAGTTATTAAGAGACATGAATCATATTACAGCTCATTTTTTAAATTTTTTATATTTAGCTTGACTTGGTTTCTCCTTTGGTTGGCTTTTCCCTTATTGTAGTTCTTCCCTTTGCAGATTTTCATTGTTGTTTTTTATTTCCTCCTCATGGAATATTTTGCCAAGAATGTTCTGTAGTGCAGACTTTCTTGCTGTAAATTCTTTTAGCTTTTGTTTATCATGGAAGATTTTTATTTCATCATTAAATTTGAAGTTTAATTTTGCTGGATATAAGATTGTTGGTTGGCATCCATTTTCTTTCATAGCTTGGTATATGTTGTTCCAGGCTCTCCTGGCTTTGAGAGTCTGGGTTGAAAAATCTGCTGAGATACAAATTGGTCTTCCCTTATAGGTAATCTGATTTTTCTCTCTTGCAGGCTTTAAAATTCTATCCTTATTCTGTAGGCTAGGCATTTTCATTATAATGTGTCTTGCCGCAGTCCGGCTGCAGCAAAATAACCGGGGGGTGACGAACAACTTGTGTACATTGATACAGCAGGAGTGGGAGCCGTTTATTGTAGGACAGGAGGGGTATATATACATTCCACACAGCTTATCTTAATTAACAAAACTAGATACAGCAGTCAACCAATAAGGAATCTCCACACTTAATGGCTCGCTGGCGTTATTTCACAAACCACTCCCTCTGGCAAAATGCCAGGCACCATCCTGACTTGTTTACAGACTCTAACAGTGTCTTGGTGTAGAACTGTTGTAATTTTGTACATTTGGTGTCCTGTAGGCCTCTTGTATTTGATTTTCCAGTTCATTCTTCATGCTTGGGAAATTTTCTGCTATTATTTCATTGAAGAGATTGTGCATTCCTTTGGTTTGAATCTTGGAACCTTCCTCTATCCCAATCAATCTTAAATTTGGTCTTTTAATGGTATCTCATAATTCTTGGATATTTTGTTCATGTTTTCTTACTATCTTCACTGTGAGGTCAACTTTATTTTCAAAATTGTATGTTTTGTCTTCATTGTCTAAGTTCCTGACTTCCAAGTGATCTAGTCTGTTGGTGATGCTATAAATTATGGAGTTTTTTAAATTGGCTTATTGTTTCTTTCATTTTGAGGATTTCTGTTTTTTTTTTTTTTTCAGTATCTCTATCTCTTTCTTTAAGTAATCTCCTGCAACTTGAATTTGTTCTCTTATCTCTTTGTTGGAGTGATCAACTTTTGCCTGCATCTACTCACTTAGGTCGTTCTTCAATTCCCAAATCATTTTAGTTATGTATATTCTGAACTCTTTCTCTGACATTTCACCTACTGCACTATCTATGGACTCTATTGTTGTAGTGTCTTGGTTTGTTTGGGGCACTTTCCTCCCTTGTTTTTTCATGATGTCTATGTGTCTTCCTCACTTGAGTATGGATTTGAGGTATTACAGCTTCTGCCCTATTGTCTTATAGTATGCCTATAGGTTACCAATACCTCACTTTTAAGGGAGAGATCAATATTACAGCACTCAATGTACCCAACGAGCAGCCATATATTGGTTAGCTTCTATTTTTACATTACAGTTTTGTCACTATAATTAGAAATGATGAGTTCGGTTATC